TTTGAGAAACTTATTGAAAATCACAAATTCGATGGTTTTACGATCGTACATGTTAAAATATGCAAAATATTAGAGTTTTGAGAAACTTATTGAACATCACAAATTCGATGGTTTTACGATCGCACATGTTAAAATATGCAAAATATTAGAGTTTTTAGAAACTTATTGAAAATCACAGATTCGATGGTTTTACGATCGCACATGTTAAAATATGCAAAATATTAGAGTTTTGAGAAACTTATTGAAAATCACAAATTCGATGGTTTTATGATCGCACATGTTAAAATATGCAAAATATTAGAGTTTTGAGAAACTTATTGAAAATCACAAATTCGATGGTTTTATGATCGCACATGTTAAAATATGCACAATATTAGAGTTTTGAGAAACTTATTGAAAATCACAAATTCGATGGTTTTACGATCGCACATGTTAAAATATGCAAAATATTAGAGTTTTGAGAAACTTAATGAAAATCACAAATTCGATGGTTTTACGATCGCACATGTTAAAATATGCAAAATATTAAAGTTTTGAGAAACTTATTGAAAATCACAAATTCGATGGTTTTACGATGTACATGTTAAAATATGCAAAATATAAGAGTTTTGAGAAACTTATTGAAAATCACAAATTCGATGGTTTTACGATCGCACATGTTAAAATATGCAAAATATTAGAGTTTTGAGAAACTTATTGAAAATCACAAATTCGATGGTTTCACGATCGTACATGTTAAAATGTGTAAAATATAAAAGTTTTGAGAAACTTACTGAGAATCACAAATTCGATGGTTTTACGATCGCACATGTTAAAATATGCAAAATATTAGAGTTTTGAGAAACTTATTGAAAATCACAAATTCGATGGTTTCACGATCGTACATGTTAAAATATGCAAAATATTAGAGTTTTGAGAAACTTATTGAAAATCACAAATTCGATGGTTTCACGATCGTAAATGTTAAAATGTGTAAAATATAAGAGTTATAGAAACTTACTGAAAATCACAAATTCGATGATTTTACGATCGCATATGTTAAAATATGCAAAATATTAGAGTTTTGAGAAACTTATTGAAAATCACAAATTCGATGGTTTTACGATCGCACATGTTAAAATATGCAAAATATTAGAGTTTTGAGAAACTCATTGAAAATCACAAATTCGATGGTTTTACGATCGTATATGTTAAAATGTGTAAAATATAAGTTTTTAGAAACTTACTGAAAATCACAAATTCGATAGTTTTACGATCGCACATGTTAAAATATGCAAAATATTAGAGTTTTGAAAAACTTATTGAAAATCACAAATTCGATGGTTTTACGATCGTACATGTTAAAATATGCAAAATATAAGAGTTTTGAGAAACTTATTGAAAATCACAAATTCGATGGTTTTACGATCGCACATGTTAAAATATGCAAAATATAAGAGTTTTGAGAAACTTATTGAAAATCACAAATTCGATGGTTTCACGATCGTACATGTTAAAATATGCAAAATATAAGAGTTTTGAGAATCTTACTGAAAATCACAAATTCGATGGTTTTACGATCGCACATGTTAAAATATGCAAAATATAATAGTTTTGAGAAACTTGTTGAAAATCACAAATTCGGTGGTTTTACGATCGTACATGTTAAAATGTGTAAAATATAAGAGTTTTGAGAAACTTACTGAAAATCGGAAATTCGATGGTTTTACGATCGTACATGTTAAAATATGCAAAATATAATAGTTTTGAGAAACTTATTGAAAATCACAAATTTGATGGTTTTACGATCGCACATGTTAAAATATGCAAAATATAAGAGTTTTGAGAAACCTACTGAAAATCACAAATTCGATGGTTTTACGATCGTACATGTTAAAATATGCAAAATATAAGAGTTATGAGAAACTTGCTTAAAGTCACATATTCCATGGTTTTACGATCGTACATGTTAAAATGTGCAACATACTAGAGTTTTGAGAAACTTGTTGAAAATCACAAATTCGGTGGTTTTACGATCGTACATGTTAAAATATGCAAAATATAGGAGTTTTGAGAAACTTATTGAAAATCACAAATTCGATGGTTTTACGATCGTACATGTTAAAATATGCAAAATATAAGAGTTTTGAGAAACTTACTGAAAATCACAAATTCGATGGTTATACGATCGCA